GTTCTTCCTGGGGACACTCTCTTCCTAATAGCACTATTCATCACTGTGTGAAAGGTTAGAATAGAAAAAAAAGTTGATCTGAAATGAAGGAATAGAATCTGTGTTATTTTAACAGCTGAATATAACATTACATCAGAGTTTGTATTGTGTAGCAAATTGCAATCTGTAGTGAAATTGCTTTAAAAATGTATCCATATATATTTTTCTAGACGTGTGATAAAGTCCTTCTGCAGCACTTTGAAATGCATTTGTAGCTAAACTGTTGGATGATATATTTTATATTACGCTGTAAGGACAAAGCAGTGGGACGATCATTACTTTTCTTCGTGTTTGCAATGTAGCCAATGTCTTTACTTGTAAATGCTCTGATGCTTGAAAGGAGAAGAGCTTATCTGTATGGTGACCATGGTTCGTGGTTAATGAAAAAAAGTGTGTTATTAGCTTATTGCTGTATGCTAGTGATAATGGCACCATAGCAATGTGTTTTCAAGAATGAGCTAATGTAATGCCTGAAAAATACTGGTCAAGCTTGGAATAACACAGTGTCACTGTGATCTGGGCTCTTCCAGGATAGTGGAGGATTATGAGGGGGAACCTACAGCGTTTTCTCCACACACACATTTTTAATGATGAAAGAAAAATACTTGAGTTGCTGCTGATTTTCATAATGTGACTCCAAAGATTCACACCTGATTACACTGGAAAGCCTACTTTTAAATGCACATTTGCCATACACACCCACTGGAATGAGATATTTGCAGTCCCACGTGACAGAATAGCCATCTGTCTAGCCACGTGTGCAGGAAATGCAACATGGGTGGATTCCCATATGTGGTAAGTAACATGCAAAAATAGGTATAGAAGCGTGTCTCCGGTTTCTAAAAATCAGAACCTGGAAGCTGAAGGTGATTAGAAAGATAACTAATATTATTAAGAGTTGAATTCAAGCTTCATGCCAAATTGAAGTCCTGTCTCTATCCTACAAAGCATTCAGCTCCAAAAGAATACTGTGACATCACATACAACCATTCAAAAACAAGACACACAAAGCATTCAGCTCCAAAAGAATACTCAGTGACATCACATACAACCAATCAAAAACAAGACAAACATTATGCTACTCTGATTGGAAGAACATTCCCTAGGCTGGGACCCTGCATTTCAGCACCACTGAAAAATAGCTATTTCTTTTTAGAGTGTGTCATACATTCCACACTACTTACTGGTAACGTAAATTATTACAATACTCAAGACATTTCATTATTATAGGAAAGTGAAGCTATTGATCAAAAAAAATTATTTTACAATCAATTGCATTTATTGAGTCTTTGGGTTTTTTTTTCTTTTTGGCACAGATACTAAAATCCAAAGGTTTCATATGCATTTTTGAAGTGCTGCAACTGTGTCTCCTACAAGTTTTGGGAAAGGTTGTTATACAGAGAGTTTATAAAATTACTAGCAAACTTACCCCATGTTGCCCGGGTCCTTCAGGGCAGGGCCTTGTGGAAGGCAGAGCGTGAGAGTGAGGATTGGGGCCTGTTATCTCCCCCCCCCATACCACCTCACACCTCACCAGGAGCTTGTTCTCTCCCCCCATACCTCAACAGCTGGCCCCCCAACCTCCTAGCCCACCCAGGGCCTGTATCTCTCCCCCTCCCCCACTCTGCACTCTCTAGCCCAGGGGTTCCCAAACTTTTAGACACGGGGACCAGTAAATCCATTCACGAGCTTTCGGAGGACCGGTAACATTCATTTGCATATTTGCATATTCATTAAGCAAATGAAGAATATGCAAATGCATTGGTTTTGGTCCTCCCAAAGCCCCCAGGGCCAGCTTTAGCAAAGCTTTTGATACGGCCACCCACAACATTCTTACCAGCAAGTTAAGGGAATATGGATTGGAAAAATGGACGGTAATCCAATAAAACCCTGCACCACCACGTCGTGTATTGAAAAGGGGCTCATTTATTTTCAGAAAGCTGACACCATCTTTGGAATTTTTTA